TCGCCACGTTTGTCTTCCCTCTATGTGTCTCTATCTCTGTGTCTCTTCTCCTCTTCTGATAAGGACACCAGTCATATTGGGTTAAGGGCCCACCCTATTCCAATATGTCCTCATCTTAACTAATTACCACTGAAATGACTCTATTTCTAAATAAGGTCACATTCTGAGGTTACATGAAGTACATGAAATTTGAAGAGACATTATCCAACCCAGTAAACCCACCAAATCTGCCCTCATTCTTGGATTGCCATCTTTGTAAATAGTGCCAGCCCTCAACCTCAAGTGAAGAATTTAAGAAGCACTCTTCATTCCACCTCTCCCTAACTTCATATCTCACTTATCATCAAGATTGATCATTTTCGGCTCCTAACATTTCTAGACTTTGAATACTATTGTTCATCTCTCATTCTTCATCCCCAACCCTTGACTCACTGTTCAGCATCTCTTTCTTGGACCACAACAACAGTCTGTCCAATAACCCTCAAATCCAACTTCCTCAGAGCTACAAGAGTATACAGAGATACACACACACAACTTCATGGCACGTCAGAAAGAAGTAGAGTTGTTTTTTATTTTTTGTTTTTCTAACTTTTCTCATTGCTTCTCTACGGCAAGGCACACAGTTATGACAGACATCCTTCTTCAGGGATGGAGGAACTGAGAGGCAGAGTGGTTTCTGTGGAAACCCTGGCCCTTGTAACATCTGCTCTGGGCTTGACAGACTCTTTACAAACCTTGAGACTGTGACAAAATCCATCATATCTATAACTTGGCTTTTTATTAGGAAAAATAAAAGATTTCAAGGTCTCTTTGGAAAAGGCAAACAAGAGGGGCTGATTTCAGTGTTTTGAGATGTACTATTATCCCTGGCTCCAGAGACTCCATGATAGAAGTACTTATTCTCGTTTTTATGATAAACAAACATAATAAATTCATGCAATTGCATGAGTTGTAAGCCATCCTTATTTACACACACACTAATTTTAAGAACAGTATTTTCTTTTTCTAAGACATATTAGCCCAGCCCACAAAGATTAGTCTAGAAGTAAATTATTTGGTGGTCATTTAAATATAAGCATGCTTGGGAAGACTGTTTCCTGTCTTCCAGGGTTTTGTTGCTGAACCATCACACTGGACCTGTTTCCTCCTTTACTTCACCCAAAAAACCTACAGTTAACTATGCTAATTGCCACAGTCCCACATGGGGATATTTTTTCATCAGCAGAGTAGATTTAGGGCTTAGAAGGAAGTAGAGAGTGCGGGAGGGAGAATCCAAGAGCTAGAGGAAGGCATTTAGCTCTATTTACATTGTCTGTAAATGCTTCTGCTGCTGCTGCTCCCCAGGCAAGTGTTCAAGCTGTCTTGGCTCCAGACCACAGAATCTTAAAGTGTCCATTCCCTGGGCCCTATTTCCAGCCTGAGAAATCCTATTCTCACTGATCCAGGATTCTGGGGGAGATCACCTCCTCCTGTTCAGAAATATATACAAATCTGAATTGTTTTATTATTTACACAGCTCTGAACTTCTTCTCCAATCAAGCACCCAACTCTTGGACACCATCACATTTTAAGGATAGAAATGACTGAAGGACACAGATCAACTCTGCTCTATAGAGTCCTTAGCGTCTGCACCATACCTGGGCAGATGCCCAAAACTGCTGTTTGCCATTGAGGCTAGAATGAAAAGTACATCTCACTTGAATAAAAAAGTAGACTATCCATTTGGTTTCTCAAAATCAATTGTACTTCCAATAAAAAGAAAAAATTATAATAACCACTTTTGTTTCCACGTGTATGTTCAAATGCTTAACCTGGACTTCTTCAACCGTAATGTCACTAACTGATAATGACTTGTAAAAAATACATAGAGTATATTAATATGAAAATTTCTGAGACCAACAGGATTCAGAAGAGCATGTACTAATGGCAGAAGTTTTAAAACAGGAAGACAGGAGCCCTAAATTTATCCCTAATACATGATTTTTGTACATTTAAATCACTTAATCTTGGGCCTTAGATCTCTACATCTAACAATAGAACATGTTTAATTATTATTTAAAAGAATTATGTGGCATCATGGTTAAGGAAGTTTATTTTATCATAGGATTTATAGGTTCTGTGAGTTTTTTGATATTCAGAAAGGAATGATTTTTTCTAACTCAATTAAAATCTTGTGTTGAAGGAATGGAAAACCACTGAATTTACTATCAAGCCATTAGGGTCTGAGTCTCATCAACATCTTAAAATACAATTTTAAAATTGTTTTCTTTCTCGTTTTCAATGGATATTGAAGGAAATTTAATCTTGATTAAGCCCAATTTACTCTCATTTAGCATTAAAAAAAGACAGTGGGGGGAAGATGAATAGGCAAAGAACAGAGGATTTTTAGGTCAGTGAAAATACTCTGTATGACATTATAATGATGGATACACGTCATTATACATTTGTCCAAATCCACAGAATGTAAAAGAGTGAACCCTAAAGTACGGACTTTGGGTGATTATGATGTGTCAATGTAGGTTCATCTATTGTAACAAATGTGCCAGTCTGGTGAGTGATTGTGATAATGAGGAAGGCTATGCACATATAGGGACAGTGGTATATTGGAAATCTCTGTACCTTCCTTTCAATTTTGCTGTGAATCTAAAACTGCTCCAAAAATTACCTTTAAAAATGGTTTATTTCTGAGAAATGTTACATTTTTTTCAAGATTGTATGTGAGCTCTAAATTTGAAAGGAAGCAAAGTGTTTCTTTCCTCCCAACTTTCTCTCTACTATATATCAAATCATGTACGATCCAGTAAGAAACGTTTATTTTTCCAGAATTGTCTACATTTTGTAAATATATAACTTCTATATAAAAATCATTCTATAATGCTCTTAAAAAGTTAGACACAAGCTTATCATACAACCCAGCAATTCCACTGCTAGATATCTACCCAAGAGAAATAAAAACATATGTACTCACGAAGACTTGTATGTGAATATTCTTAGCATCATGACTCATAAGATTTAAAACAACGCAAATGTCCATGCTCTGGAGAATGGATAGACAAAATATGGTATATCCATACAATGGAAATGGAAAAATATTCAACAATAAAGAGGAATGAAATACTGATACACGCTCCAACATGGATGAATCTCAAAAACATGCTAAGTGAAAGAAGCCATAAACAAAAGACCATGTATTGTATGATTCCATTTATATGAAACGTTCAGAAAAGGCAAATCTATAGAGACTGAAAGTAGATCAGTGGTTGTCTGAAGCTGGGGGTGAGAACAGAGATTAACTATACATGGGCATGAGGGATCTTATGGGGGTGATGAAAATTTTCTAAAACGGAATTACCGTGATGATTTTACAACTTGGTGAAATTTCTTTAAAAAATCATTGAAAGGGGTAAATTTCTAAAAATCTAAATTTCTAGTTTAAAATTGACAAAAAAGGAGAAAAAAATTTTCTAACAAAAATCAAATTTGACACATTCTTAAATATCCTGCATAAGTTACTCCATTAGCCTTGGATATTTTGTTGAAGAAAGCTGTGGTAAAAATAAGACTAAAAGGTCAATTACTAAAAACTTTTTGCAAAAATTTTTTTCCAAAGTATACTTCCCTTCAAAATTGAATCATTTGATCTTCCAAAACACCTTTTTTAGAAAATAAACTCCCTTGAGATAGTGTATACTAACAGGAAACAAAAAAGGTTTTCAAAATGCTGGTGTAACCAACCTTGAACCAGAACCTACTCATTACAGTACTTCCTCTGAGCTTTATGGCCATCAGATCTCATTTTCATAATCCAAATTCTGAGCTTTCTGAATATTAAATCCCAGGAGGAATTTTTTTTTTAATGGCAACGGCAATAAGAAAGGCATCTTGAGAAGAGATAAAGTGGACAGATGGATTTTGAATCTACATGTACACACAGGGAAATGCAATACTCAGAGCAATTCTAACCCAACACTTTTCCAGTATCCAAACCAACAATATGAGGGTTTTAGGTTTTGATTTTATCTAGACGAAAGTTTAAGTAGGCATCTACTTCGAATCTCCACTTTCCAGTCCTGCACAGACTCCGACTAATAATGCCACCTGTAGTTTTCTGTTTTGTTTTTTAGTGTTTCCCGTGTGCCCCGCTGGTGCCAAGCGCATTTCCAAAGGAACCGAGCTCGGCTGCGCTCCCTGAGATGAGCTCTGCGAAGACGGGACTGGCCCGTCCATCTCAGCCTCACTGGGCAGGGACTTGCCGGCTGGGGCAGCTGGTAAAGCAGGGTCATCTCTCCCCCAAAAGGCGCTTTCAGGAGCTTCCTCAAGAGGCTGTAGCAGCAGCAGCAGCCCAGCCCTCCTTGCCCACCATCCCCTAAGCCCCCGCGACCCCTTAACACTGGGGTCCCTCTCTGGCTGCCGGCCGGCTTCCTAGGCTCAGAGAAGATCCAATAGCTGCAGGAGACACTGGGCACCATCCGGTCTAATCGTCCTCGTATTTTATCAAAGAATGGACAGACTGGAGAGGTGAGGTGACTTGGCTAAAGCCGCACAGCTCTACGCTGGCAGAGCCGGTTGGAACCCGGGTCTCTGCTGACACCGTGGCCGCCAGCTGGGAAGGCGCAGCCCAAGGAAAACGACGTGGCATTGCCGGCGAGAGAGGCGAAGGGCTCAGCAACTTATGACAGGAGGTCACCAAGGTCCACCTTCAGGACACAGTGGGCAAAAGCAGGTGACTAAACCTCCCTGGTTACGCCTGTTGACCTGAGCGCCCCCTCTCACTCTAAAAGTACCCTCGTCTGCGCGTTGATGGTGTGGTCGCCCTAGCGAAAATGGGCATCTGCTTTGAATTCCCCCCGTGCTGTGCAGCCAGGACGGAGAATGGGAAAGTTGCACCTACCTAGCTTCGCTCTCCCAGTCTCCCCCGACTCCCGAAGTCCTTTCCCTCCATCCTCGCACCAGCGACACCCGCCCCTCGCCCCTCGCCCCTCCACCGGCTACGTACCAACCGCGCGCAGAGACGCCCGCCGCGCCCGGGCCGGGTCCCCTCGCGCTCGGGCTCGCCCAGCCTCTCGGGGGCCGGAGCTGCGTCGCGGGCTCTAGCTGGCTGCCGCCTCTACGGTCCACGGGGACGCGGCCGCGTCTGAGCAGCCGGGCTGGGGCGCAGCCAGGCGGCGGCGGCGACTCCGCGGGCGGAGGGAGCGGTCGCCGGGACCCGCCCCCGAGCGCAGAGCGCGGCTCCCCTGGCCGCGTCCCGCCCTCGGGGCAGCCCCTGCCCCGCCGAGCTCTCGGGAAGAGCGACAGGGCTCTTTCCTGTTGGCGCCCTGGGCACGACTCTTTTTTCCTACGTGCGCGTTAGCAGACTACTCATCTGAGATCATCACAGAACCCGTGTCCTCCCCCACGCGCCCCCCGCCACTCTCAGTTCCCCTGGGTAGTTGTTCATCTTCTGTTAAGAATTTGCTTGATGTGGCTGGTACAATTTGTTGGTTGGATCCATATGTGCGCGTCCGGAGGGTTTCTGCTCTGAGTGTCATCAGGTTGCCCTTTGATCTAATCGTGGCTGTTTGGAGAAGTAAGAATGTGCATAGTTTTCTTATCTGCACCCGGAATCTGAGTCTTCTTCAACAAATTATTTTAACAGATTGGGAAGCAACGTACAACTTTTGGGCAAAGAAAAGCAGAAAATAATGTATATCAAGGTTCACTTTCAGGTTCTCACTAAGGAAAATGAGGTCCTTACTATTCAAGTCCCATTGTGTCTTTTAAAAACCATATTAAATGGATGACAATACTGTTGATAAAATTAAGGTGCTCTTCTCTGCTTCCTGAGAAGATGGTTTCTCCTCTCTGAAGTCCTGAGATCTCCTCTGGTTTCCTGAAAGTCATTATTAGTGTCCAAACACTTCTTTACACCAATATGCTCATTGATACTGTGCTCAGGCGTCCTACCCAGGGCCTATGAAACCTGCCACTTCACTACTGACCACTTCCAAATTTCCTTTTTAGGCAAAGGCTATGTGAGCTATGACAATATAATCAGGCAAATATTTTATTTAAAGTATCTGCTAATGGTGCTACAATCAGGCTCTTCAAATCAATTAATATTCCTACCCCCACAATGTGGTAATAATCTCTGTTTTCAGATAAATAAACTGAGGCTCAGCAAGTTTAGATAATTTGAATAAAGTAAAACAGCTAAGAAGACTCCAAATCAGTTTTTGAACTCAAGTCTTTCTGCCTTTAAGGTTGATTGACATTTTTAAATTACACCTAGTTAATAAAGCACATGATTTTTCTAAATTCCAGCATTTGCACGTTTGTTTTCTAAAAACATAGTTATCTGTGTGGTCATATAAATATTAATTAAAGAAATTGAGAGTTATTTATATCTTTAGTATGACTTCAAAACTTAGTTGGCATTATCAAATATATTTCTATGGCTTCTTATTATTTTCTTATATAATAATATATAATATTATTATTATCTAAGGCAAATTATTATAAGGCCTATTTATTTTAGAGAGTCTATGCTAGAGAGAGATCTAAAATGTTTGGATTATGAGTTACACTATCATGATTGTATTTTTATGATTCTGCAACTGTATTCCTTATACTCACAAAATTTGTTTTGTAAAACTGGTATTTTTGGGTAAATTCAATAAAACATTGCCCTCACTGATACGCTTTTAAGTTACATATTTGAAATCATCAGAACCCCTTGAATGTACGCTCCATGAAGGCTCTATCTTCGGTACCTAAATTAGTACTTGTACAAAATAGCTGCTTAATAAGCAGTTTTTAAATGAATAAATATAACCTCATTTTCTTCAATTAAGACAAAATAATGACTTAAGAAAACACTTTTGGGGCCTGCCGGGTGACTCAAGTGGTTAGTTAAGTGCACGCGCTCCTCCTCCATCGCCAGGGGTTCACGGGTTCGGATCCCAGGGTTCGTGCGTTCACATCCCTGGCGCACACCAACGCACCGCTTGTCACTCCATGCTTTGGCAGTGTCCCATATAAAATAAAAGAAGATGGGCATGGATGTTAGCCCAGGGTCGATCTTCCTCAGTAAAAAAGAGGAGGATTGGCATCGGATGTTAGCTCAGGGATGATCTTCCTCACAAAAAAAAAAAAAAAGAAAGAAAGAAAACACTTTTATAGACTGCCTTTGTCTGTATATAGTGGCCTGAAGATTGTTGCTAGTCTCTCATTTCTACTAGGAGAGTAAGGGAGATGATGGAGTCAGGTAAATGGCCTGAAGGTTTGCAGTAGCTGCTGTTGGGCATGGTAGACAGAACCTGACCTTAAGTACAACGAAGTATTTTTGTGTCCAGGAATTGGTGGTAGCAGTAGTTCCACACAATTGTGTGAATTTGTGTAAAATATATGACTCTAACTGCAGAAAGTTTAATTAATCGAACTTTGGTGTTTCATCAAGTAGTCTGACAGAAAGACAAGGAGAAAGCTTGCCTACTATTTGTAAGAGAGTGTATGAAAGCCAGGGCTATGAGGTTAACTTAAGATTACATAGGAAAATAAGTGAAGACATAAAAGGGGAGAGAAAAAGAAGTCAAAGAACTACAAATCTTGATCAAATGAGAGAGAGAGAAAGATAGGAAGTTGTAGTCAGGCAGTGGGATAGTTTTCTTGAAAGATTTAGTAGTAGAATGATGGCATGGTTTATGGAAGAACTGTGGCTCGTGTTGGCTGACATAGAGTGAAGATCAAGAAATTGGAGACTAAGGGACTAAAAAGGCTATCTGCATGGACATTGAAGCCATGTAGGGGCAGAGAAGGAACGAGTCAGATACCAAAGACTTTGATGATGTGGTGGAATGATCTGGAACTGAGTGGATGACTGTGCAGAACTGGGGCAGAAGGTACATATCCAGGGAGCAAGAGCCTAACCGGATCAAGGGCTGGTAGGAGAAGTGGTACACAGTTCAAAAGCAGTACCGGGGAGCTACAAGGATGCCAGTGCTGCCGCCCCTGGTCCTAGGGTGTGAGATAATAAGCAGTCTACATTGAAGGGAGATCTAGGGGAAACTATTCTCAGAAGAAATCTAATTTTCCCCTAAAGCAAGAAAATGGAGGAAGCATAATGTGACTAGGTTACGAAGGTAGTAGGATTTTTCAATATTGAAGGAGGATTCTGCAAGGTCAGAGTGGATAGATTTAGGAGGCAGGGCCAGCTTCACGGTTATGTGACATGAGCAGTAGCACAGGGCTCCACTTTTAAGAAGGCCCTGTGCTTGGCTTAATGCTCTCCTTAATGCCCTGCCTTGAAATTCTTAATAATTTTTAAACAAATGACCTCACATTTTCATTTTGCCTTGGGCCCCGCAAATTCTGTAGCTAGTCTTGTTTGGAGGAAGCGGAGAAGTGGGAGCAGAGGTGAAGCAAGAAGCAGCACGAACCCTCTGGGGATTAGAGTACGGGAGAGACGAAATGCAGGAGATCCTATTTTGAGGGGAGACCAAGAATGGCAGAAGAAAGGGTGTGGCTGCAAGGTTTCAAATGACATCTCGTTTTGCTCTCTTCGGGGCCAAGCTAGCTGAGACGTGGGCAGGAGAGGCAGACAGAAGCCACCATCAGCCTACTCCATGTTTTTGTAGGCTAGTGTCTTAGTTTCCTGGGATTGCCATAACAGATTACCACAGATTTTGTGACTTGAACTTACAGAATTTTATTCTCTCACAGTTCTGGAAGCCAGAAGTTCAAAATCAAGGTGGTGGCAGAGCAGTCCTCCCTCTGAAGGCTCTAGGGGAGGATCCTATTTTGCCTCTTTTGCCTTTTGGCGGCTATAGGTAATCCTTGGTGTTCCTTGGTTTGTAGCTGCATAACTCCATTCTCTGCCTCCACCTCCACAGAGTCTCTGTTTCTCCTCTACTGTCTGTATTCTCCTCTTCTTATAAGGACACTTTTTGGATTTAGGATCTACCAGTTAATCTAGGATGATCTCATCTGGAGCTCCTTACCTTAATTACATCTTCAAAGACCCTTTTTCCAAATAAGGTTACATTCACAGGTGCCAGGGTTAGGAATTGGATATATCTTCTTGGAGACCAGCATTCAGTCCACTACAGTGAAATTGGCTGGGGCCACAGGAATAGCCAGGCTGGATGACAATGACCTGAAAAGCTATCAGCTTTTCAGGTCTAATTGGCAAACCAGGATAGCTATAACAATATGAGGCTTATCAATGTTTACAAAGCTTTCCAACCATGAAATTGAATACATATAAAATGCACAAGAATGGGGCCTGGGGTTTGTGGGTTCTGGATCCCGGGCGTGGACCTACACACTGCTCATCAAGCCATGCTGTGGCAGCGACCCACATACAAAATAGAGGAAGATTGGCACAGATGTTAGCTCAGGGTGAATCTTCCTCAAGCAGGAAGAGGAAGGTTGGCAGCAGATGGTAGCTCAATCTTCCTCACCAAAAAAAAAAAACAAATCAGAAGATTAAAACTGCCCAGAGAGACTTTACATCCCTAGGAGCAGCAATCTGTCCTTGGGGACAAAAAGGGATTGGGGAGAAAAGTCTCATTCCTGGGATAGTGTCGAGTCTGGTTACAGGGAATTGAGGAAATGGAATTTTCCACTCCTTCTCTCCAGCCATCCTCCATTCCAGAGGATATATGTGGGTCCCTGGTACTAAAGGAAAGTTTACAGGATAACCACATTTATTTCATCCCTTCCTAAAAATATGAGATTTATAAGACCTGGGAGAATGACCTTGTGAATCTGTGGCGGAGGCTGAGCTAGCTTCCCAAGCCATGCCTTATAGAGGACAATCTTAAAAGCCCTTAGAGAGGGGAGAAAGAAATGTGGAAATGATGCTAACTGTATTGTCTCATCCTCCTCCTCTAGCTGACAGGCACTCTGAGAAATGGTTGAGTAGCTGCCACAACCAAATGGAACTCTCCTTAAAAATCATCACACTCTGGTCCTTTCTCCCTTCTGCTGATGACAAAACAGGAGCCATAAATTCCATCAAAGTTTCCATCCATTATTTTCTGAACGGGAACAGTGAGAGAATCCCAAATTGTGGCAGTGGGACAGCAGCATAACTGGACTGAGGTTTGGAGCCCATTAGAGGAGCATCCACCGTTGGGTGTCCTCTAAGGAAGTTGCCCTGAAACCAAGCTTGGTATGTGAAATAGTGGCCAATGGCAGAAGAGGATGGAGCCTGAACTGCCCAGTGGTGACCCTGCTCCTGCTGTGTGGCAGACTCTATGCCACAGATCCACATCCACT